AAAGGAATAGTGAGACTCGCCGTTGTCTCTTTGTAATCTCTGCTTACGCACCCACTGACTGTAGTTCGGATGAAGTGAAGGACGAGTTCTACCATAAACTGTCTAACCTCCTCTCGAAAGCCAAACGTTCGGACGTAGTGGTTGTTGCAGGTGACCTCAACGCACAGGTGGGTAGACTGAGTGAGGCAGAAAGGCACTTAGGTGGCACTTTCGGAATCCCAGCTGAACGTACAGATAACGGTGATCGCCTATTACAACTATGCTCAGATAACCGCCTATTTTTAGCCAGCACAAATTTCAGACATAAAGAAAGGCACTGTCTGACCTGGCGTCCACCGAGCTCGACTCAGCGATGGACACAGATAGACCACATTGCTATTAGTCATCGCTGGAGAGGATCGGTGGAAGACTGCCGCTCCTTCTGGAGTACGTGTTTGGACAGCGATCATGCGTTGGTCCGAGCACGTATATGCCTGCGTCTCAATGGACGTAGAAAAAAACAACACTACGAGTTCTGCTGGACAACGAAAACACCAAAGCCGTGTTCAGTGAGAAGTTGGCTAGGCAGTTATCGGAACAAAAGACTGTCACTCATCCAGAAGAAGCTTGGTGCCATCTTCAGTCTACTGTAAAAGCAGCACTGGAGACTGTAGCCGACTCCAAGATAATGGCTAAAAAGAGCCAGTGGATATCAGCAGCTTCTTCCAAACTAATGGATGCACGTGAATGCATCCCTGCAGGCTCTGAGTACAATGAAGAGCGAGCGCAACTTAAAAATAAACTGACGAAAAGTCTGCGCAACGATCGTGAACAGTGGTGGGCAGCAAAGGCTAAAGAGATGGAAAAGGCAGCGGCGATCGGTAACAGTAGACAGTTATTTAGACTTATTAAGGAGACTGGGGGGAAATGGTCAACAACAGTTAGTGAGGTTATAGCGGAGAAGGACGGATCGGCGATTCACTCGCAGGGAAGGCGACTGGGACGATGGGCAGAACACTTTGAGGAACAGTTTAACTGGCCTCCAGCCACCATTGCGCTGCCCGCTATCCAGTCGGACCCTGAATGGGACATAGAGACAGGTCCCCCAACACTAGAAGAAGTCGAGAAAGCGGTAGGTAGCCTGAAACGGGGAAGGGCAGCAGGACCAGACGGACTACCTGCTGAGGTATACAAGAATGGTGGTAGAGTTCTCTTAGTCAGGCTAACGGAAGTGTTAGCCAGTATATGGGAATCAAATACGATCCCCTCCGACTGGTCTAAGTCACTCATCATCCCAGTCTTCAAGAAAGGCGAGAAGTCCTCTTGTGATAACCACAGAGGAATCAGCCTGACAAACATAGTGTCTAAGATCCTAAGTTCTATAATTCTCCGACGCCTGAGTGGAGCTCGGGAACAGCAAGCCCGAGAAAACCAGGCAGGCTTTAGACCTGGCCGTGGATGTATCGACCAAATATTCACACTGCGCCAGGTCCTGGAACATAGGCATGCTTACAGACGCCCGACAATAGCTGTATTTCTCGACCTGAAGGCGGCATTTGACTCCGTTGATCGAGAAGTCTTATGGCAGTGTCTGTCACTGAAAGGCGTGCCTAGTAAGTACATCACCTTATTGAAAGCTCTCTACTCGAACACTTGTGGGCATGTTAGAGCCTATGGTGAGTTGTCCAGGGAGCTATACTCATCAAGTGGTGTCCGTCAAGGATGCCCACTATCCCCATTCTTATTTAATTTTATCATAGATATTCTTATGGAGGTTTCCCTCTCGTCACCTAATTACAAAGACGTTGACCGGATCACAGGTGAATTTTCCTTAGATCTAGAATATGCAGATGACATAGTCCTGTTAGGTGAAGACGCTGACAAGATGCAGAGTCTTCTGAACACTTTGAGTGGGAATTTGAGAATGTTTGGGATGCGATTTTCACCACCCAAATGCAAATTTTTGCTCCAGGACTGGTCTTCAGCGGTACCGCGGTTAACAATAGAGAGTGAAGTGGTTGAGTGTGTTGACCACTTCACTTACCTGGGAAGTAGGATCAACCCTGGTGGGTTAGTTGCCGATGAGATTTCTGCACGGATACAAAAGGCTCGATTGGCTTTTGCCAATTTGCGCCACCTATGGCGCCGCCGTGATATTCGTTTGTCTATTAAGGGTCGCGTGTACTGCACAGCAGTCCGCTCTGTTCTACTGTATGGCTGTGAAACATGGCCATTGAAAGTGGAAGACATGAAAAGGCTTCAGGTGTTTGACCACCGTTGCCTTCGTAGTATAGGACGTATTCCGTGGTGTCACCATGTGAGTAATGCAGAAGTTAGGTGTAGAGTTTTAGGGAGAAGAGGTAAGTCAGTCGACGAGGTTGTGAACCTTCATCGACTGAGATGGTTGGGACACGTACTACGTATGCCTAGTCACCGATTGCCTCGTCACACAATGTTGGCTGAGGTGGGTTCAGGCTGGAAAAAGGCCCGAGGTGGCCAGACTAAAACATGGCACCAATGTATGAAGTCTCTGACTGTTGGTTTAAGCCATGTAGGACGATGCAGACTAGGTGGTTGGGGTCCACGGGACAAGAGGAACCAGTGGTTGGAGACCCTAGGTGATATGGCTCAGAACCGAAGTCAGTGGCGCAGATGTATACACACATTATCCTCATCTTAACAACGCTATACCGAATCTCACTATTTTGTCACTCCTCTTTCCTTTCTCGTACTTTATATTTCTTTTGACTGCATTCACTTATCTTCATCCTTCACCTCACTACCTTTTTACTTGATGTGCTGATATGAGGTGTGGCAACTCGGACCGTTACGCAGTAATGCCTGGTCCTATGTTGATAATGATGATGATGATAGGTGAAGTTGCTGACGCAATGTAGAATCTTCTGAAGGGGTTGAGCAGAAATGTGAGAATGTTTGGCATGCACGTTGCACCTGCAAGTACTCCCAGTTTGATGATAGGTAGTGTCGATCAGTTCACTTACTTAGGAAGTTGGATCAAACCGAACGGGCTGGTTGCTGACGAAATCTCAGGTTGGATACAGAAGGCCCATTTATCATTCGCCAACTTGCGCCATCTATGTCTCCAACGGGTGAGATATTTAACTATCATTCGGAGGACTAATATACTGCGCTGCAGTGCGCTATTTCCTGTTATACGTTTGTGTAAACGGTTTTAGTTAGGCAATATGAAGAGATTGTAGGTTTTATACATTGCGGACCTTCGTAGCATTTTTCGTGAATGTTGGAATCACAGGGTGCGAAATCTTGAGGTCATGTAAGGGGTACTATGCAAGGGAGTCCGCTCGGTTGATTAGCCTATGAATCTTAGTCACGTGTGATGTGTTGAACATGTACTGTGCATGCTGAGTTACCGTATGCCTCGACTTGCACTGCTATGAGAGATTTCTGTGAGTTTGGAAGAGATCTTATGGCGGTCGGGCTTAGGAGTGTCATAAGTCTTTGAAGTGTTTTGTTTTAACTGTGTAAGGAGGCATAGATTGCATGCTAGGGTCCCTGGGACTGTAGGCATTAATTCTTTGAGACTCTTGGTGACATGGCTGATAGTTGGTCACAATGGAGCAGTTTGTACTAACTTTTGACGTCTTCTAAAGCTTGAATATTTTCTCTTGTAATACGCCTTTCTCATAAGTCAGTCAGTCATAATAGTCCTATTTCGCACACCTCACATCAGAACATCAAGGTAGAAGGCATCGAGGTGAAAGAGATTCTGAAGATATTGTCCAAAAGTGGTAGAAAGTCATGAGAAGAGAAATAGGAATGAAACTGATGAAATGCAGTGTGACGATTAGGATGAAGATAATATGTAGGTGCTTGTGTGCGAAATCACCCAGTCTCTCACCACCTATTTCTGTGGTCATGTTGACACCGATAGGAAGTCTATATTTCCCTTCACGGCTCAGACGAACGGTCACAGATTTCACGGTCTTGTGCTGTGTTTCAGTCTGATCGCTTTTTACCTTTTCCCAGCATAGAGCTACTTCAGTGGGGACTGTGGCGGATCAGACTGACTAGCCAGCCATACGTAACACATTTTCCCGATAGCTGAGTCCATGAAGTTTCACAAGCTTATCGACTGACTTTCCTCTTCTACCGAAAACTGCAGCTGTCTCTTGCATTCCCTACATGGCGATACCACGACAAGACGTATGCTACTAAGATAACAGTGATTGGGTGCGTGTAGCCTTCTTATACCCTCTATCTTTAATAACCATGCTTCTTAGCTATGCAGTAGAACAAAGACAACTTTCTTGGAGTGCACTTGATGCTTAACAGATAGTTGGATATCTCACCGACATCGTAGGTGTCATATGTTAGCAAAAGCCAGTCAAACTTTCTATATCTGTACATACTTTTCGCCCATCATTGACCCTACTGGGCTGACCCGACTCTCAAAATAAGTGAAGTGGTCAACACTTTCAGCCATTTCGTTCCCTACTGGTTAGGCAGAGCGCCTACACAGACCAGTTTTGAAGCAACGATTCGCATTTAGGTGATGAAAAACGCACCCCAAATATTCTGAAAGCGTCACTCCGGGTATCTCAGAGAATCTGTTGACGGCACTTACAAGATATTTTAATATATATGGAAAGTCAGGAATGCTCCATTCTTGGTTAGCGTAGTGACAATGACCGTAGACGAAACATATGGGGTTAAGTTTTAATGACTTCCACGTGTTAACCTACATCCATCGAGTCACCTGAAATGCATGCTACAACAACATTTACTATGGTGTTGAAGCAAAATGAGAAAGGCCTAAGAATCATCGGAACAGGATATAGAATTGTTTCCTACGATATTCGGTTGTTTTTCTGTCTTGAGAATAGTTAATCTCCTTGATGTGTTAGAAACGAAGAGACTTAGACCAATGTGGCTTAGAACTCATCATAGCAACCTAGATAGTCTGTTGTGATGTAGATTACAAGTTGAATAATAACTTGAGTTTTGTATTCATTTTCCAAATGTTGCCTGTTTTTCCATAGTGAATGTGCGGTGGCTACAGCGAAAGCCAATGTCATGTTGTATGACTCAAAAGCGAGCACCTGGATCCCGAGTGGTCCGGGACATGGGATTTCCAAAGTTCAGCTGTACCACAATACATCAACTAATGCATATCGAGTCGTTGGGTGGAGACTACAAGATCGCGAGGTGAGTATACATTGACGAATGTTTTCCGAAATGCTTGTTAGTTGAGTGATCTTGTAAAAGATAGATGGCTCCAACTTTACATGAATTCTTCAAATTTTTTTGCCATAAGGTTAAAATCCAATTATTTTACAGCATTTTTCAACCTGGTTTGAAATTAGCTGAACAGGGTCATGAAAGCAAGTTACAATAGTGAAGGCTGGTATATCATCACTTCAAAGTTCCCACCTACTCCTCATCTATATAAATCCCTGTAGTTCAACCCTTTTATCCACCTAGAACTTCACACACAATTGCATTCATTCATTCTGTCACACTAGTAGAGAAAGAACAGGTGGGTAAAATAGGAGTGATATCAATGTAGATAAATTATTGATAAAGAATAAATCTAAAGATAATGCTTACCGCATATATTCAAACTGTGGGAGATATCAAGAAGTCAATACATCTGCGCCACTGTGACCGATTTCCGACCTTGTCACTAAGAGTCCTCAACTACTGATTCCTTTCGTTTCGGCGACCCCAACCAGGCAATCGACATCTCTCCACATGGCTCAGACCAACAGTTAGGGACTTCATGGACTGGTGCCATATCTTCCAACCTAATCCAACGTCCTCTAATGTGGCACTTCGAGGTAGGCAGTGGCCAGCATATGCTGTACATGTCTAAACCATCTCAGTCGATGAAAGTTCACAACCTCATCAATCAACTTGCCTTTCCTGTCTAATACCCTTCGCCTGACTTCAACATTTCGCACCTGGTGATTCCACCAAACGCGAGCAATACTTTGAAAACATCTATGATTAAAATCTTGTTATCGCTTCATGTCTTCTGCTTTCAACCTCTATAGCTCACAGCATCATCGGAATGTGCTAATATTAAGCTTAAGACCACGTCATCGACTTCATGTAGGTGCTTTCAACGTCCGGACTCTATGCCAAATTGGAAAGCAAGCACCGCTAGCCAAAACTCTGAAATCGGTAGCCATGGATCTATCTGTGTCTCTGAGACGCACGCGTTTACAGGACCCGAGCGTAAGCAAACATAGGCAATGATAGTCCGGAAAAATCGATGCGGAAAATGAATATTTAAAGAAATTCTCTACAACCAATACATGGGAATAGCATAATTGATCTTTGACAAATTCAGGACAAAACCTTTAGAAATCTAATGTTACGTGAATTAAATTAAAAACATGCCTGAATATAAATTACTGCAAAAGCTTAATACAACTACTTATTAAGAGTGTTTATATCGTGACCGTAAGCTCCTATCGGGGGGTGGTGGATGAGTTTACATATCACAATGATGCAACAAACTGCACTGTCTAGAATGGTTGTTCCCCAGAGATTCCACTATACCAGAAAGGCCAGTCAAGCAGTTACCATTGTGGTGTAAATTACTACACTACGATGAGGTCTGAGGGCAAAGTCATACTGCTGCTAGGTGTATAGAGTGTGACAGCAGTATAGTGTTTTCCTTACGTAAACAGCAGTGCGACGTTGATGCTGTCTTCTCAACGGAATGGGGAGGGCGGGTTACCAAATGGCAAACACCAAAATAATACACCACCTGACACAGTCTTCCGCTACCTGCGGTATGGGTCCCCTCTATCCGACGTTAAAACAACCAGGCCTCAAAACGACATACCGCGACAGGCCACGGATGACAGGCCTCAAGCTTTGCAGTCATGCAAATCATCTTCTCGTTCATGTACCTTAAGAAGAAATAGCCTTCCATGGTGTGGGCAGCCGTGAAGTGTCAACAGCCCCCACGCATACAGGAAATACACAAGACCAAATCAAACATAACCTATTCCCCTCAACTCTGTCTCCTTCCTTGGCTTCACCTTCTGACACTAATATTAAGCCTCCTACACCTTCGTCAACTTCTCACCCTGCAACCATAACAAATGACCAAAGCGATCGAAACCTCATCCATCATCGACTTCATGTAGGAGCTTTCAATATCCGAACTCTATGCCAAATTGGAGGGGGGGGGGCTGGTGAGTTCGGTTAAAGATGAGAAGTATCTGGCAAGGGAAACTACATCTCGTCATGTATGCCTACGCTGTGCATAACGGCAACGCAGATGCAGCTAAGGATGAGGTTTAGTATCAGCTGAGTAATCTTACCAGTTAAGCGCACTCAATAGATGTCATGGCGCGCTAGCTCGGGATTTGAAGGAGGGTCGTTGAGCGATAGTCACTAGGGATCAGTTGATCTCCAGTTAGATAATGGGGAGCGTTTTCTACAACATTGCTCAGATCACAACTTGTTTCTAACCAGCACCAACTTCCGGCACACCTATCGCCATTGTGCTATCTGATGTCATCCCTCTACCATTAAAGCTTCAATTCAAATTGGTCGTATGACGGTTAGCTACCGATGTTGAGGATGTATTATGGACTACTGCTACCTGTGGAGCAACTGTTTCAACTGTAATCAAATTAGTGTATGCTAATTTTATCTTAGGTTTCGATGGTTGTTAAAGTCACATTCCCAAGCGCATAGACGTTATTGAATCAGCTATTGCATCGATGTAAAATAAACACGAAATGGAGCAAGATTCAAGACCAGCGGTTTCACCTGCAGAAACGGTAAACGAGTACTGGCTACAACAACCAGCTGCTATGAAAATGAGGTGTCAAGTAATCGTAAGACACGGAGAAAGTCCCACAAATAAACACTGAAACGAGTGTTCGCCTCACAAAAACCCTTCAAAACAAAAGCCTAACAAAGGCATAACGACGACCACCTGCTACAACTGTTTTCACAGTCATCATGTTAATAATTACGATATGATGGGAGATGACAACGAAGTCGTGCTACTGGTTAGACAGGGTTTGACAGGAGTCCGGTGTTTTTCCATGGATAACCAGAAGTTTAAGCAGTTGCCTCAAAAAAATGGCACACTTTTCTCTACCCTGTAGTATTCCGGTGCTGAATGTATTCAGTTTTCTTGTCCAGCGTAAGTACAATCTGATCTAACAGGAGAGAGCAGCCTGCAGCGCGGTATATTCGTCCTCCGAATGATAGTTAAATATCTCACCCGTTGGAGACATAGATGGCGCAAGTTGGCGAATGATAAATGGGCCTTCTGTATCCAACCTGAGATTTCGTCAGCAACCAGCCCGTTCGGTTTGATCCAACTTCCTAAGTAAGTGAACTGATCGACACTACCTATCATCAAACTGGGAGTACTTGCAGGTGCAACGTGCATGCCAAACATTCTCACATTTCTGCTCAACCCCTTCAGAAGATTCTACATTGCGTCAGCGTCTTCACCTATCAGCACGACATGGTGTGCATACTCCAAGTTAACCGGATTGCCAACACGAAGTGGGTCAATCCCTGTGAAGTCAGACGTGTTATGTCCATTAGTGCATCTATAAGGAAGTTAAATAGGAATGGTGACAGTGGATCTCCCTGGCGGATACCACCAGTTGTCGTCAATTCACATGACAACTCTCTATAAGCCCTCGCATGGCTGCATGAGTTCGAGTAGAGAGCTTTGATCAGCGTTATATACTTGCCCGCTACTTCCTTCACAGTCAGACACTGCCATATCGACTGAGTCAAATGCCTCCTTCAAGTTAATCAATATAGCAAGTGTCGGTCGCCGGTAAGTATCCTTGTGTTCCAAAACCTGTTGGAGGGTAAAATGTGATTGGTGCACGCTCGCCTACGTCTAAAATCTGCCTGGTTTCCTCGGGTTTGCTGTTCTCAAGCTCCAGTTAGCGTCAGATTACTATGGACCCTAGGATCTTGGACACAATATCAGTCAAGCCCATTACCCCATGCTTGCCACAGGAAGACTTCTCTCCATTCAAATGGACTGGGATGATCGGTGAAGTACACCGGTGTGACGGGATTACCTCTGACTTCCAGACACTGCCTAGTACCCCCATCACTTTGGTTAGCGCTTTTCGACCGCCATCCTTGAAATCTTCAGGTCCTGCTGCTGTACATCATTTCAGGTTCGATGTAGCCTCGTGAACTTCGAAAACAGTTGGGGGACTGGCATCTATATTCCATACACGTTCGGGCCGGATGTTAAGCAAGTAGAGCGTTACTTTACTGAGGTCCAGATGAACTGTGCTTCGAAGTGTTCTCCTCAACGTTCTAACCTGCTGTCCTGAAACGTTATCAAAGTCCCACCCTTTCCAGTGATGGTCTCAATCGCCATCGTTTTCTTCTTGCCAGCATCCTTAATAAGCCTAAATAATTTCCGAGTATTACCCAGCGTTGATGCCTTCTACATCTCTCTCGTTTTCGCCACTCTCCACTGCTCGTGATCATTGTGAAGACTCTTGGTTAACCTGGGTTTACTTTCCTCTACCTCTTTTTCGTGATCAAAGCCTGCTGAAATCAGGCTTCTTGCATCGAATAATTCGAATGGTGTTTCGAATGTTCATTGGTTTGTTTTGTAGTTGTTGCCATGCGATGCCTGGAATGCTGTTGCCTGACATCGGTCTGTTAATGGAAGGATGATTGTGTTTTATCTGCAGTTTGTTCTTTTATGTTGGGCTTATGGTAGACAACGCCGTAGAGAGGAGAAGGCGTGTAGCCATTCTAAAGTTTTTATCACAGAGGTCTTCATAGTATTGCTCTCATTTAATGGAGTCACTGTGTTAGGAATGTTGAACTGCAGTGAACGTGAGCAGGGAGGCAAGTCGTGTTTTACACGTTCACTCGCTGATGTGTTGTGGGACATACTGCGGATACTGAGACACTGCTTATCTTGGCATTCTATGCCAGGAGTTGCGTTAGGTTAGAAGATGTCTGGGGGTGTTGGGTCTAAGTCATGACATCAGTCTTTGAAGTCTGACTTTTTGTTTTAACTGTGTAAGGAGGTATAGATTGCATTGTTGGGGTCCCTGAGACTGTAAGCATTAATTCTTTGAGACTCTTGGTGACATGGCTGATAGTTGGTCACAATGGAGCAGTTTGTACTAACTTTTTGACGTCTTCTAAAGCTTGAATATTTTCACTAACGTTTATTTTGTTATCTTTTCTCCTCCTGTACAGTTTTGTCTGCTTTGATATGTTTTTTGTCGATTAAGTTTTTCTTTTCATTGTGTTTTAAAATATGCCAATGAGGACGGGTACTCTTTTGTGCGAGATTGTGTGTTGATTTCTTCAGGCCTTCTGTCTGTTTGAATTTGACCACGCTCTCATTACCAGTAGTTATTTGATAATCGTCACGGATTGCAGAAAAAACAACTTTATTTTTGTGACAAATGATTTTTTCTTTTTTGGATAAAACTGCATTGGTATGCACTAAAGAAAATATATTAGTAGATAGACAAACAATGACGGGATCTTCGGTAGAAGCGCAGCACTTCAAGTTGTCGCATCCCACACTATAGGATCCAGTTGAATCGAATTAAGAAGGAATTATATTAAAGCATAAGGAAGTATATATGGACAGAGGGTAAACAAGGGAAGCTTAATAAAACGTCCTAAATATGAAAAATGATTTAGTGCGAATAAATCTGTTTTATCGTTAATCATTTTAAGGCATGTCACTGAAAGCATCCAAGAAATGATTTTTTTCGTCGTAGGGACTGCAGCCAGGTAGCCTACATTTTCTACATGACTCAGATCAGCAAAGACTTTATGCGTTGATACCACTTCTTAGTTTCGGTAATCTTGACTTCACATCAGTTCTTACTCAGTGTCTGTTTATGTGACATTGTGTTCAAGATCCTTTGGTCCATAATAATCTTCCGTTTGCTTGGGGGTCGGTAACAGCAAACTAGAGAGTGCCAGGGGTTTCAGACGTGGAAGAGGGTGCGCTGGTCAAGTTTTTATCTTTCATCAAGTTGTAGGACACAGGTAAACTTGCCGACAATCGAGATTTTCCATATTTCTTGACCTGAAGATGGTATTTGACTCTGTCGACCGTGAGGTGTTGTGACAGTTCTGACTGTGAAGAGAGTAGTGAGCAAGCATATAACACTAATCAAAGTTGTCTATTCAAATTCACACAGCCGTGTGAGGGATTGTAAGTAGTTATCATATAAAGTGTAGCAGCTGGAACTAATGGACTTTAGGCGAAGGTTTCACGTCAATTTTTTCTGTCTGTTTTCACGTAGTCACATATTTCTGGCTAGCAAGAACTGCAGACGTGTAAAGACACATTATCTGGTGTGACGTTCACTGACCTTAGCTCAGTGGTGGACACAACTTAGTGCGAGGCGACACTGTTTTGGGGGTCCAAGTTGCCACACTTTATATCAGCACACGAAGCGAGGAAGGACTACAATGGAAGACCAAGAAATGAAGCAGAAGGTAGTGAAAAGTGGTATGAGTTAGTGAGAACGGAAGAAGGAGAGAAAGCCGAATTATGTATGACGATTAAGATGAGGATAATATGTGGATGCTCAAATGTGAAAGGAAGGTATATATATATATATATATATATATATATATATAGAGAGAGAGAGAGAGAGAGAGAGAGAGAGAGATTATGAACTAAATGGTGTAGTTGTAACTTCATCACAAGAATACGCATGTCTATATGATTGATTCTGTACGTGGATTGTGTTTCATTAGAATGAGGCTACCTGTTTGGTTGCTCCTCAGAATAAAACTGTCTACCGTTCTTGTCTTAAAAAGCCTGAGCAAGTGATCGATCTCCTTGAAAACTAATGTTTGATTATCCATTTTAATAACGGGTATATCGTTCCTTGAATCACATTTCGTTTTCATTGTTCGACATGAGAGTATTGCTTATTTTTATTCATCTTAATGGTCACAACCTTTATCGAGAACTTTATTTGTGATATGTTTTTTCAGCTGTAAATTGTTATGCAGACTGGTGCGTAAATGGTTTTGATTGAATAATGCAGTTTTCGTCATATTGTGGTCAGGGACGCATACTATTTAGGCGTCATTCTTTTTGCTTGTACTGGTTCTTAGATTGCTATCGTTTAGTAGTGATAACTGTCTTATGGGTTGCTGAATTCCATAAAACACCTTTATTATTTTGTTTATACTCGTTCTGTTTTCATCATTATCGCAGTCGACTCTTTTTTCGTGATGACTAGGTTGTAATTAATTGTGCTATTGCACGTGGATTGAAGTATCACCAGGCACGTCCAACATTTCATCAATGGCGTGACAGTAGACAACAAGTTTATGGATTAAATTTTACTTCAGTTGAAGAAGCTGATGCATTTGCTGCTGCCGTTAAGTCTGCTCTGGAGAGTTTAGCTGCATTACATCGTCAACAGGCCTTACAAGCTCACCAACAACACCAATCTAAGCTTCCTGTTACTCCTTCTGATCAGCTGCCCTCTAATACTGATATTACTACCAATACTACTCAGCAAGACACACAGCAACATCAGTCTCAACAGCCGAAACAACAGATACACAGTCAACAGTCCATTTCAAGCCAGTTGGTAACCAAAAGCATCAATGGTAATCATAATACTGACAACCAGGCGTATTCTATTCAACCAACTGCATTAACAATACAAAGTCGATCGATATTATCGTGTGTGAGTTTGAGTATAATTTCTGTAATCTGTTCAGTGTGTAATTCATTTGTTTACGCAACAAATAATTAAGAATAAGTCCCACAGCAAGCTATCAGTTATCCCCGAAAATACATATTTGATTAGGTTTGATTTGTATGGAAGCATACAAATGTGGGGATAACAAAATATTTCAAGAATCATCTGTAGTGGCTGTTCAGTATAGAGAAAATAACATTTTGGCTTTTTTAAAATATCAGTCTGTTTAACCCGTAATTATTGTCTTTTGTTGCATATTTGCTTCGGGAGTCATGCAAATTTTATTTAGTACTTGGTCTGACTAGAACTAACTAAGCTCTCTCACCAACTACATGCACATTTATGTACTTGGTAACGAGCCTCATTGTGTGAAGGCTAATGATACTTCTTGGTTGCCTTGACCTCGGTTGGTGGATTGGGGAAGATCCGTGACTCAGTAGTTGAAAATTGAGTTTTTTGACCAATGAACCACATTTCTGCAACTCTAAAGATGTTCTGAACATACAACCAGTAACAAAATTGTTAGTAACAACCGAAGTAACAGAGAGCTTAACTGATTTAGTCTTCACTGACTAGAATTTATCATTTTGTTTCGTGGAAGGTAATGGTTCATATGCACGTTTTTGAAGTAGTCTAACGGCCAGGTGTTAGAGAAAGGGGGTGGGACGATAATTATACCAGGACATTTGTTAATTGGTTCACCTGACTTTCGGCAACCATTCTGTAGACATTTAAATGTAAGCTGACATTTTTGTTTTGCAGATTGACAGAAGCTGAGAAAAGACTGATTGGTCTGAAATGGATCAAAACACCAACTTTTATTGGCTACATTTATTCATCCTTTACAATGTAGGTTCGTCATTAGCAGTTAGGTTCACTGATTGTTAGTTGAGGTATGATTACCTCATTTATTCTTGTGGTTGTTACAGTTTATAACCATCGACAAAACTCATCTTACGACAGTCAAGTAATGATTGGGCTGAATGCATAGTTTGTAAATATCTTGGATTTATAACCATTCGACAATTAATTGGTGCAGCAAAACAACGTAATTGAGAAAAGGAAGCACTTCTCAGGTTCAGAAGAGTCTCCTTAAATATGGTCTATGTCTGTACCAAACTTTGAGGTATGTCTACCATAGCATCTTACAGTAAAGTTATCTGTCTACAAGTTACAACTAATTCATGTAATCAGCTTGTAACGCAGCCTTACTATAGTATTTTCTTGGCACTCAACTGCTACTCATGAAATCATACATGTAAACTGACTAATCTATCATTTAGTATAGTTTATCCACTATGTGGTGATGTGTACGTGAATACTGAATCACATTTTCCCTAAATATTGAGGAAAAAAACTGTTATTTTTCAAACTCCCTAGTCTCTCTCTCCCTTACCATATTCTTTAATTTTATGTATAGGATACTATTGAATCGAATGAACATTACGGGGAACAGACTAAGTTGTTGGCAACACTAAGTCAACAGTCTGAGCGACAGTTTCATATAATTACGATGAAGAAGTTGTTAATAATCGTATGGAAAATCCTTTAAATGAAAATCAGAATGTCTACCCGACTGTATCAACTATTTGTAGAAATAATCCTTCGGTTCATCAAAATGCGGAAAGTAAGTTTCTATCGTTGTAATTTTTCTTAGGTTTTATGATTTATAATAAATTAAGTTCAATTCACTAGCATTTTAGTTGGACTAAGTACTCATTGCTTAGAATGAAATTGGAATCCGATCATAATTTCTTTTTGTAGCTTATTCAGTAGTAGTAATAGAATGTCGAGTTACTAACCAGATCGAATTCTACCGTAACGAAGATCTTTTTGAATTCACTATTCTGCTGCATGTACATTTCTTATCTATTCGAATGCATTTATCGTTGCACTAAATTCCATACATAATGTCTGTATGTTAATCATTTTGGAACAGTCAGTTAACATAAACTCCGTGTTACTCAATTTTCTGTGTTGTTAGAGGCGATCAGCATGGTTTATCTACAGTCAGTATGGCACTGTAGGCAGTCAGAAGTCAACTAAATATTGACTCAGAACTTACTCACAGAACTAAGATATCGGTTGATGAGATTACATTAGGTATACAGTTATACCTGACCTCCACAGTCTTCAAGTTTCAGGACAAAATATACAAACAGAGGAAGTAGCAATGGGATCGCCAATATACCCAATCGTAGCAGATATATTTATGGATAGTTGGGAAAACATGTCTTTACAAACGTTTAGTCATGAACCAAAAATATGGTGGTGATATGTGGATGACATATTCACTGTGTCGAAATCGGAACATGTCGACAATTTCCTCACACATGCAAACTTAGTAGCAGGAGCAATCCAATTCACGTTTGAGGTAGAAAATGCACAACAAGAATTACCTGTTAGATTGCAAGATAAAACGAAGGACAGACGGTGGTTTAGATACTACCGTCTACAGAAAACAGACACATTCCAACAGGTATCTAGACTTTAAGTCATCCCATCCAATGTAAGTTAAGGCAGGATTAGTCAAATGTCTAAGTGATAGAGCTAAAAAACTGAGTAGACAGTGCAAGGAACTAAACAAGGAATTGAAACATGTAAAAGAAGCACTAATAGTTAATAATTATCCTCTACAGTTTATCAAGAAATTCTTACGGACACACGAAAAACGAAAAAATAACAGTCACACGAGTGCGACTAATAACGACAACACGAGGAAAAAGGAGTTCATAGCCTCCATTGTAGTACCGTATAAGGAGTGTACCTCAGAAACTTTACATGAAATCCTCAACAGAGCTGGAATTAGGGTGGCATTTAAACCTACAAACTTACCCAGATAAACGTTATCGGCTTAAGGATCCGATAGAACCAATTGAGCAAAATAATATAAAATCTATAAAATACCATGTAATGACTATGAGGTCAAGTATATAGGTCAAACTAGTCGGTCGGGGTCAGTTAGAATAGCCGAATATAAGAATATAGCTAAATATAGAATGACAAACCTGAATAAGATCAATAATCTAGAAGGATACTCGCCTATTCCAATGCATGCATTAACACACACCCACACAATAGGGTGGGTGGGACAAAGCCAATGTACTTAAGTCTAATATAGCTAGGTGGAGAGAGAGATTGATTACTGAATCTTTGTTCATCGAATCAACACTCAACACATGTAATAGAAATAACGCAACACCTATACCAGAGATATGGAAAATTTTGCTACCAATAAAAACAACTCATATGAGGTGACGTAACTATAAAAAATAAATGTCGAGAGTAGTGTGATTACATTGATATGATAATGAGCAATAATCATTTATGCTCGAAACGTCATCAAGTAAGAATACTCGATCACTGTGTGTTATAGATCAAATAAACAAATCTAATATGGAATTTGTCTACAAACTTCAGGAAATGTTTTGCTTCTGTAGAGACTGGAATATGAACTGTCCAGATTGCCAACTCTTTTCATGTACTTGAGTTTACGTATACTAACAGTTGTTTCCCTATAAATAGCTTCTAAACACCAACCTATTGTTGATCACATTCTCTGACCAGTCGAGTTCTATCAACACTAAACATGTAATCAGGTACTCGAAACGATCGCATAACAGTACATAAGGTACTTAACCGGTTGCGTTTAGCGTCTGCAGAGTATATGAACTGCAAATGATTTTAAAATACATTAGTTAGCTGATTTTCCTGTGATCTGACTGTCATTCGCCGATGAAAACTTTATTTAGTGAGTAGTTATGTGTAATACACACTATACACTAGAGTCGAATGATGTAGCACCTTGAATCATAGGTGCAGTTACAGAACAGAAAGTAAAGCCAAAGGATAATCGAAGGCAGTCTCTTAAGAACTAGAGAGTGGACAAACGTTTCGTAGCATTGTTTGTAAAATTGTGTGTAACATTGGCATACCTAGCTACAAGAGCCAATCTCAAGATGTACGTTATATGTGCAGTTTGCGTTCTGTAGATAAAATATATTGATGGCGTTGCAATGGAGCATACACTTTGTTCCCTACTTACAGGCTGTTTCGTGGCGTATTCAGCATCGAATACGGTGCAATAAGCTGTCAATCAGTTCGTGGTCTACACACGATGTACGGGTGATATTTTCATTGTTGATGGGAAACGTGACAGAAGTTGGATTAAGTCGGCAGAAGGTTCAGAGTGACAAACAGATAAAGCCAACATAGAACCTCGCACACACGTGCATCAGGTCAAGTTACCATACTTCACAGTAGCATACAAAGAACAAGTGGCTAAAAAAGTTATGTCAAAGCTAACAAAGTTGTACGGGAGAATACACAGTTTGAGGATAAACGTTAGCTTTAGAAGACGTCAAAGAGTGAATACATCTACTCGATTGTGACTCATCTTCAACCGTGTCACCATGATTCTGAAAGCATTGATTCCTACTGTGTCGATGACCCCAACTAGGCAGTCTAAGCCTTCTTACACAGTTAAGACAAAAAGTCAGACTTCAAAGACTGGTGCGACGCGTTAGCCTGACCACTCTAAGATCTCTTTCAACCTAATCCAACTTCTGTGAACGTCACACGTCCAGGCAGGCGGTCGCTCAGCATGCACAACACATATCCAAGTCACCTCAGTCGATAAAGATTCACGACCTCATTGACCGGCTTGCGGTTTTGCCTAGTAGCATTCACCTGACCTCAACATTGCTCACGTAGTGATTCCAGCAAACGTGAGCAATGTTACGAAGACAACTGTGTTTGAAAACTTGTGACCACTTCATGTCGTCTACTTGTAACGGCCATGTCTCACAGTCGTACAACAGGACAGAACGGATTGTGGCTCACTATACTCATGCTTTAATAGGTAGTCAGATATCTCTCCAGTCATGGCCACAGGTTGCAGAAGCTGTCAAATGGGGAACGGGCCTTCTGTATCCAACCTGAGATTTCATCATCAATCCGCCCGTTGGGCGGAGCATCATCTCGCATTTAACAGGTACGAAATGTATGTCACCCAAATATACTCATATTTCTGCTCAACGCGTCCATGAGATGCTTTATTTTGTCTGTGTCTTCACCTAGCTGAACAATATCTTCATACTCCAGGTCAACTAGATGATCTCTAGTGAGTAGATCAATCACTGTGAAGCCACAGTTACCTAAGGTTATGTCCATTATTAGTACGTCTATGATCAAGCTGAATAGGAATGGTGACTGTGGGATGTGTGTGTGAACTTGAGTAGATAGGGCTTTTGTTATCGTTATATACTTGCTCGGTACTCGTTTCACAGTCGGACACTTCTACAGTACTTCACAGTCGACTTAATCGAATGCTGCCTTCAAGTGAAGAAATATGCTAAGTGTCGGCCGCCGGCAGGTATGCCTGTTTTGGAGAACGTGTGGGAGAGTGAAAATTTGATCGACGCGCACTCCTGCAAGTCTGAAACCTGCCTGGTTTTCTCGAGTTTTCTGTTCTTGAGCTCCAGTTAGGTGTTGGATTACTATAGTGCCTACGATCTTGGACAATATATTAGTCAAACTAATCTCGCTATGGTTGTTGCAAGAAGATTTTTCTCGGTTCTTATAAACTGGGATGGTCGGTGAAGTACACCAGTGCGGCGGGACCATGTCTGATTGCCATATATTACGTAGTACCCCTGTCACTTTAACCGGCAATTTCCTACCTTCATTCTTGAAAACAGGTGGCAAAGTGTCAGTTGTTGCTGCTTCGCACCGTTTCAGGTGAGAAACAGTCTGCTTAACTTTGGGGAGGTCGGAGGAACGGCATCTACGTCGCATTCTAGTCTAGGGCGGATGCTGGGCCAGTGAGGGCGAGTTAAACTATGCTTCAAAGTGTTCTCAATGTTCTCTCAGCCTGGCCTGGAAAGTTATCAGTGTTCCTTCCTTTTCGGTGATGCTCTCACTAGCCGTTGTCTTCTATTTGCCGATATACTTAATAAGCCTAAATAGTTGCCGAGTATTACCCACCACTGAAGCCTTCCCTATCTCTCTCTCTCGCTTTCGCCACCCACCACTGCTGGTGGTGGACGCAAAGACTCTTGGTCAACTTACTTTTGATTTGGTTTCACTCTTCATCGTGGTTAGAGCCAACTGGAACCAGTTTTCTCTCATGAATCAGTTTGGATGACATCACGGAAATGCAATGGGGTTATTTCTTCCAAAGACACTCGAATGGGGAAAGGGTTTGTTTTACTGTGGAGCCCATGGGACATCTACTTGAGGCCTGTAATTCGCAGTGTTTTAAGGATTGTTGGTTTGTGAGTTTTTTCCTCTAATGGGGAATAATCAATGCCCATACCGCTAACATTGGTAGACTGCAAACCTGGGAGAAGTGGGTTATTTTGGGGGCCAATCTTTGTTATCCTCTTTTCCTGTAGGGAAGGTAGCACCACCATGATATTACTAGTTATCCAAGAGAGACACCTAACTGCTATCACAGCAGTACGATTTAACCCTCTACCGCCATCACGTTGTGGCAGTTTATAGTATAGTGGTATTTGGTTTTTGTTTTGCTGCTATCTTTTCCTGGTAAGACCTCAATGGGACAAGCATTGGAGCCAGTGTAGGTCATTGAGTCATCGTGATATTCAAGTCTGACCACCACATCAG